TTATCATTACTTCTGTTTATCTTTGTGCTTGCACTGCCAAGATGTAGTACTTTCTAAAACTCTGAAAACATACTTTTGATTTTTAGATTTGTAAGTGCTAATTAGATGAGTTAATCCAACTCGTTTTTTCATTCCAATATTTTTTTCAATCACTTTTTTTGGGGTACCTAGTTAGTTGGAAAAAATATTCACTAATTTTGGTAAGCATCATTGAAAATGAAAAATATGTCCAGTATCCATTTAGTGAAAATTAGGTGGTCCTGGTCCTTGTCACAAAATATCGCATCACTAAGCTCTTCTCATTGAGCACGTCAATGAGAATCTCTCAATTCCTTATCGCCATGGCACATGCTCAGCTCACACATCCATGCTTGAGAAAACTTACCTGGAATATGTATCCTGGAAACCCATGGTCTGGGATTCTTACGTTTGTCTCGTCAGCACTGTTGGGTCTATAGTACTACACCTTGATTCCTTTTATAATGGAAATAACTGTTTTCTTCCATATACCATTATGGGCAAAATGAGAAATGAAGATCGCTGAACAACAGTCATTGAAAACCTAGAGACTCAGTGTTGCACCTCTGGACTTTGAAACTTTCTTTAGAGATGATGGTGCAGCTTTGGTGATGTCACACCAAGACTGAAGGATGATCTAACACTAATCATTTATCTCACAATTATGTTATCCTTTTCGATGATTTCATCCTTGATACATTTCCTTATTGTAGCCAGAATTTTCCTTAAGATTAATTTTAATTTTTATTGGAAAGGCAGATATACAGAGAGAAAGATAGATCTTTCATCCACTGGTTCACTTCCCAAATGGCTGCAAAGGCCAGAGTTGAGCCGATCTGAAGCCAGGAGCTTCCTCTGGGTCTCCCGCGCAAGTGCAGGGTCCCAAGGCTCTAGGCTGTCCTCCACTGCTTTTCCAGGCCACCAGCAGGGAGCTGGATGGGAAGTAGAGCAGCAGGGATATGAACCGGTGCCCATAAGGATCCTGGTGGATACAAGGCGAGGATTTTGCCACTAGGCTATTGTGCTGGGTCCACCAGAATTCTTTGTTTTTTTAAATAGCTGTGAATGTAAATAATTCATGGGATAATGAAATAGAATATTTCAAGAGAGATGGGGAAGAGTAAATCACAAAAGTATCATAATGTACCTCAGATTTACAAGTCTTAAAAGCCCGTAGATTTCTAAGACACAGTTTCATTGTTTTCAGGACGTTGATTTATTTAAAAGGGAGAGAGACCACAACAGAGCTCTAATCTACTGGTTCATTCCCCAAGTGCCCACAATGACCTGGGTGGGCCAGGCTGAATCCAGCAGCTGGAACTCCATATCTGTGATTGGCCTGCCCCCTAGGAAGCCGGCATTGAGAGTGAAGCGGGACTCAAACTGAGGCACTCTCACACAGGACGTGGTGGCGTGACATTTTAACAGTGGTGCTAAACATTTATCCCTTATTCTAAGACTTCATTTGATTGAAAGGCAGAGTGACAGAAAGGGAGACGAGGATCTTTTATTCAGTGCTTTACTCCTGAAATGACTGGCGCTGGTTTAGGCCAAAGCCAGGAGCCTGGAATTCCATTCTGGGTCTCCCACATGCGTGATAGGGGCACATAAACACTGGGCCATCTTGCACTGCTCTCCCAGGTGTGTGAGCAGAAGAGCTGGGTTGGAAGTAGGGCAGCCAGGACTTGAACTGGTTACTCCAGTACTCTAGTGAGGGATGCTGGCATTGCAGGCAGTAGTTTAACCTAGCATGCCACAACACTGGCCCTACTTACCCTATTTTTGTTAATTTTTGACTGGCAGAGTTAAGACAGAGTTCTTTCATCCACTGGTTCACTTCTCAAATGGCTGCAGCAGAGTGGGGCTGGTATTCGGTCAGGAGCCTGGAGCTTCTGGGTCTCCCACATGGTGTAGGGACAGTAAGAGTTGAGCTATCCTTTCCTGTCCCTGGCCTGCCACGTAACCTCTTTCCAGCCATTTGTCCTCTATTCTCTTGGAGGCGGGGCCATTTGGAAGAAACAGTGGGGTAAGAAAGAGCTGAATCACAAAAGTTCTGGAGGAATGGGCATTAGGTGGCACGATGGTTAAAGGAACAAATTTATCCCACAAATTCCTGCATGTACATTCAAACATGACATACTCAGGAGACGAAGCCTGGAAGCCCACTCAAGTTCAAGGAGTAGTTATCACCATAAGGACCTTAGTTGTGAACAAGTGCCAGCCCAGAGTGTGGAGTCCCGGTCCTGGTCTCCTCTGCTGGCAGCACACACCCCTTCGGTGGAGAGGCCTCTCCTCTGCCGCCCCTCCGAGACACAGCCTGAAACACGGGGAGAAAGCCATCCTCCTGGGAGACCCTAGAGCTGTCCATCATTGCTCAGCAACTACTGGCAAGAGCTAAGACAGACTCACAGATTGTCCAGGTTTTTGCCCTGCCTCCAGCTGACCTCCTTTTGTTTTATTTGTAGGTATATTCATTTTTTATTTGAAAGGCAAATTTTCCTGGTTAACTCCCCAGATGTCCACAAGAGCCAGAGCCGAGCTGATCCAAAGCCCTGGAGCCCGGGCCCAGCACGATGGCTCAGTGGTTAAGGTCCTCGCCTTGCACACCCAGGATCCCATAGGGGCGCTGGTTCTAATCCCGCTTCCTGCCTGTGGCCCAAGAAAGCAGTCGAGGACGGCCTAAAGCTTTGGGACCCTGTGCCCGCGTGGGAGACCCAGAGGAAGAGGCTCCTGGCTTCGGATTGGCTCAGCTCCAGCCGTTGCGGCTGCCTGGGGAGTGAATCATTGGATGGAAGATCTTCCTCTCTGTATATCCGCCTTTCCAATAAAAATAAATCTTAAAAAAAAAAAAAAAAAGGCCTGGAGCTTCTTTCTGGTTCTCCCAAACAGGTGCAGGGGCCCAAGCATTGAGGTCATCCTTTGCTGCTTTCCCAGTGTTAGCAGAGAGCTGGATCGAAAGTGGACCACCCAGGACAGATTGGTGCCTCTAGGGGGCTGCCACACTGCAAGTCTAAGATTGGCCTAGTGTGCTACTGTGCTGGCCCTGCACCTTTTGTTCCAAGTGGCCATTTTTATTGCCCTTTTCTCTGTTATTGGTGTGCTGGCAGTAAATTGTAACTAAGCCTAGAAGTTGTCACGCTAGCAACAGGGCACATATGGACCAGATGGAGACTAGGGAGCAGGCATTTGTGGCTGTACCTATCACAACTAGATGCTTTTATGCAAGAGTATCCTGAAGACTGTTCTCTCTGCAGATATGAAATTGTAAGTGGTAAGGCAGCAGCAAACGCAACATAGCTCTTACTGCTTCTTAAGAATGATTCCATTTTTTCTTCTTATTTAGGTGACCACATATCCAAGGCTACCAGTCACACAAGGTGGTGTGGACAATGCAGCCCTAGGAAAAGGCCCTGCTCCCTCATCCTGCTTACGTGGTGGACTCAGTAGTTCCCTGAACTTGAACTCACATATATCAAGGTAAGCCAGTTACTGTAGAATTAACGGTTCTGCCAAAGATATGAACGGGCTGTGGAGCTGCGACTAAGACATCACCTCATGGCAGAAACAAATGAAAAGCCTATAGGGAAACCAGTCCACAGAGAGAAGAAAGGAGATGCAGAGTTACAGCAAGTGAAAAAGACAAAGGGGACAGAAGTAGAAACAAAGATAAACCAAGCTGGGCAGTCAGAGACTAATTTCTTATGACTTCCTTCATCTTACAATGCTGAGCTATACTTCCAAGATTTCTGATTTTTTTTAGTAGCTTTTTTTACAGGCTCTTTTAGGCCAATTTGTTTTTATTTTTATGATTTATTTATTGGAAAGGCAGATATACAGAGAGATCCTCTGTCTGCTGGTTCACTCCCCAAGTGGCTGAGCCAATATAAAGCCAGGAGCTTCTTCTGGGTCTCGCACGCGGGGTCTCAAAGCTTTGGGCCATCCTGTATTTCCCTCCCAGGCCACAAGCAGGGAGTTTGATCGGAAGTAGAACAGCCAGGATACAAACCAGCACCCACATGGGATCCTGGCACACACAAGGCAAGGGTTTACCCACTACGCTATCGTGCCAGGCCTGATTTCTGGTACTCTTAAGATTTTTATTTGAAAAGCAGATTTACAGAGAGGAGAAAGATCTTCCACACGTGGGGTCATCCCCAAATGGCTGTGACAATTGGGGTCCAAAGCCTGGAGCTTCTTCCAGGTCTCCCATGAGTGCAGGGTCCCACGCCCTCTTCTGCTGCCTTCTCAGGAAGCTGGCAGAGCAGGTGGAGACAACCTCCTATGCACAGACTAAGTTACATGTATGACTGGGGCACTAGCCCCAATTTCTGAATGTTGTAGCCAAACAATCCTTGATCTGAACAGCAATTTCATAAAGACTTCTATAACGGCATCTTTTAAATGTCTAATTTGCGACTATGACAATATTTTGTAACATTTTTAACCACTGCCCAAAGACAGCTAGCTGGTTTCATACAATAGCTAACAGTTATTGAGTAATTCCTTTTCAACCAACAGTTTCAAACCTATATATGCAAGATCTCTTTATTCTTTTAAAAAAAATAGCACCTATTATTATAAAGATTTATTTTATTTTTATTGGAAAGGTGGATATACAGAGAGGAGAGACAGAGAGGAAGATCTTCCGCCCAATGATTCACTCCCCAGGCGGCTGCAACGGCTGGAGCTGAGCCAATCCAAAGCCAGGAGCCTCTTCCTCTGGGTCTCCCATGCGCGTGCAGGGTCCCAAAGCTTTGGGCCGTCCTCAACTGCTTTCCTGGGCCACAGGCAGGGAGCTAGATGGGAAGCGGGGCTGGCGGGATAGAACCGGTGCCCATATGGGATCCCGGGTGTGCAAGGCGAGGACCTTAACCACTGAGCCATCGTGCCGGGCGGGCTCGAATAGGTGCTATTTTTATAATTCCTATTTCATAGATGAGGAAGTTAAGGCACAAAAAGGGATTAACTTGCTTAAGCCCATGCAGAGTTAAAATTGGATCCATTTGTTTATTTACATTAATGGTGATATCTGACAATGTTTTAAAACAAGTTCTTGCATACATTTAAAATTCACTTTAGTTAACAAGCTTTTGCTAAATGTCTATTATGTGCGAAGTACTGATTTAAACTAGTAACTACTTAACATGAACATTAACAAATACAAAATTCTTTCTGTGGCACAGACACAAAGTGCTTTCAAATTAAGTTCTATAATCTCAAAATACCTCCTTTAAAACAGAAGGAGTAAATTCCAACAATGCTACTTTTAATGCATTTGTTATTTTAAATTCACTGGAATATCTAAGGTTATGTGCTGCAAGCTGGACTCATGAAAATCTTGACTTTACAGAAGTCTACTTTGATGAATACAGATCTGTTTCATCAGTCACAGGCTGTTTCACGTATATAAAGACAAGGAGTTTTTCATGGAAGGTGGTGAGTTGCCATGGAATCTGCTTCTCTTGATTTTCTTAGCAAGGCTTGTCTTAGGGCACTAATTTTCTCATCAAGTTCAGCCAGTGAATAGTTCTGCTGTAAACAATAAGAACATAAATTGCTGAATAAGACTCAAGTATCTTAATGCAGATAAAGTGCTAAGTGAACTATAAATATTTAAAATATTCAATAGCATGATAAAATCTTTTCTCCTAAGAATAATTTTAAGACTGAAATACTAACATAGACTGAGTAAATCATAAATTTAAAGGCATAAAATGACAAGGCTTACATATTTCTTTCCTAATAACTAAGCTGTTTTGAATATTATGAAAATTAGCAAAAAAAATTTCAAAAAACCCTGATCTGCATAATAAATAATTAAAAAAAATGAACTGTAGGTTAGCTGCTTAAAATACCTAAGAGCTCTCTGTTGTGGGATCAACAACTTTTGGGGAAAAAAAAAAAAACAGTTGCTCTCAGAAAATTTAAAATGTCAACTTTATATGACCATCACTGAAAGCTAGAAAAACTTTACTATTAGGATTCAAATGACAGAATAGCACTTCAGAAGTGGACTAAAGAGAACTTCTGCTAAACATCTTGAGTTTGGTGCTAGTAATCCATGCTGTCCACAAAATGGGGAGTGTTTTTGTGAAATGTAGAGGGGTCATCCACCTGCTGTTTCATTCCCCCAAATAACCACAAAGGCTGGGCAAGGAGCTTGGAATTCCATTGATGTTTCTCAGGTGGGAAGCAGGAGCCCCAAAACTTTGGCCAGCTATCTTCTGCTTTCCCAAGTGCATCAGCAAAAAGCTGGATTGGAAGCATAGCCAGGACTCAAGTTGGCACCTATATGGGACTGCCAACATGCCATATGGGCACTGCTTAATGCCCCTGCTACTGTTTTGATCCAGCTCCTTGCTAGTGGACCATTTTGTTCCTTTTCCCAGATCAAGTTCTTGGGCTCCTACCACCAATGGGGGAGACCTGGTGAAGCTCCTGGATTTCTCCTGGGCCAGTGCTGGCTGTTGTAGTCATCTGGGGAGGGAAGCAGCAGGTGAGGGATCTCTCTCTCAATAAATAAATAAATCTTAAACTGTAGGGGCCAAGGTTGGATTGCCTTTTGAATAACTTGAAAAAAAGAGTTACAGGAAGTGGGGAGAGGGTCTTTAATCCACTGGTTCACTCCCAAATGGCCGTAATGGCCAGGGCTGGGCCAGTCAGGAGCTAGGAGGCAGGAGCTTCTTCCAGGTCTCCCACATAGGTACAGAGGCCCAAGGACTAGGGCCATCTGCTGCCATTCCAGACATGCTATTAGAGAGCTGGATGTGAAGTGGAGCAGCCAGGACTTGAACTGGCACCCTTGTTGGATGCTGGTACAATCAGCAGCAGCCCTACTCACTATGCCACAGCACTAGCCCTTCATCAGATTAAGCTGCCATTTATGACATTGGCATCTCATACTTCAGGGCTGGTTTGCTTTGCCACCCTGCTAATGTGCCCGGAAAAGCACAAGACGGTGTGATCCCTTGCTCTTCTACCACACACCTGGGAAACCTGAACAGATTCCTGCCTTTGGCCTACCCAGTTGCTGCAGGCCATCAGGGAGAGTGAACCAAGGAATGGAAGATCTCTCTCTTACACTCCTTTGAAACAAACCAAACTGAACAGTTTAAGACAAAATTAAAATGTAGTAACTCACTTGAGGTGGCTGAACTTTTCTTCTTTTTCCAGAAAAGTTCTAGATTAAATATGAAAAAATGACAGTTAATATTTAAAAATTGATGTAAGCATCAATTTTCCTTCATAAATTACAACACAATAACAGGGTTTTGAAACCTCGAAACAATAACCATAGGAAGCTACCCGCTGAAGATTAGTGACATTCAAAGCATCCAATAGCAACAATGCCACACCCTGCTCATCCCTGGGAATACAAACTCTCCTATGATCTACAATGAATGATTATGGAAGGCGTTAAATAATCTTTCCATTCCCTGACATTAAGTACAGCAGCAATAAAAAGAGGAAAATGAGATTTGGTCCCTGGCCAAAGGATGCAGAGAGGCACACACACCCCCTTGGTTCACTACAATAGGCAATTTTGGGGACCTAAAACAAAACATTTGTGAGCACAATACACTAAGGGAACAGTTGGGATCTAGGTAAGTCAAAATTGTCTCTTCCCTTACTTTGGCAGGTAATGTTTAGCTAGTGACAATGGCTGTATCCTATGGAAGATACTACCCACACAGGAGTACAGGGAGCCCATGCTCCAAGAAAACAAAGGTAAGGGATCTCTTCTGAGTTGCCACCTTTCTTTATCCGTTCTAAGGGACAACTGTAAGTGGCAGCCTAGACATTTCCTTCTAGTCCCCTTCCCCCACCTCAATGGAGACCTTTGCTGCTGTCTATATGGTTTCCTTCAGTCTGATGTCATTGCTTCTCCAATTCTGACTTCACAGTGCCACCAGATGATGCCCTGGATGACATCTGGCAGTGCAAACTGGTTAGAGTCACTTTCTAAGCCCTCTGGGATATGTTTGCACTCTGATTTTCCAGCTGACTTCAACTATTCCCTCTTGCTTCTGGTTCACTCATTACTTTGACTCACTCCAGATATTTCTTCAGAACCAGGAGTTACCATTATGGACTAGAATTTTATTGAGACAGCACTTTAGAGCAAAGTTAACACACCTTAAACAGTCTGTGAAGTAACGATCAGCTAAGTCCTGTCCATTCATTTGTAAATTTACTCCATGTCTACTATGCTCCATGTACTCAAAAATGAGTAAGACAGTTCCTGCCACTGAGAGGTTCGAAACAGTGTGAGAAACAGATGTGTAAACATAATTGTGATAAGTACTATAAAATGAACCAAGTGCTATGGAAATATACTTGTGAAGTCTTATACTGTTTTCAAGTGTCATTATTTATGAGTATTGCCAAAGAATTACTGATTTTAGAGATCTTTTAAAGTCTGTTAGACTGTCCTTAAAATTATTACCCCACACAATCTTTCCATGTCTAATGTGAAAGGTAAGAATCTGAGGTTAATATTATCTTTTAATGTAGTAGTACTTATAGTTCCTGCTTTAAACTTTGGAGGTTTGTCTATCATAAAATGGGAATTTCATATAAACTGGTTTTATGAATTGAAAGCAATATCCTTTTTGTTTATTCTATGCTTCAATATTAAGCAACCTCTATCTACTCCAAGAAGCTTCTCCCCAGGGTTGGCATCCCGTATGTGCCAGTTTCTGGCCTGGCTGCTCCACTTGCAGTCCAGCTCTCTGCTAGTGGCCTGAAAGAGGCAATGGAGAACCCAGAAGAGCTCCTGGCTTTGGCCAGTCCACCATCCAGGAACCAGAGGATTTAACAGGTGGGAAAAATATGTATACATGTATATGTGTGTGTGTGTATAAATATGAGCCTTCCCCACACATTTCATTTAAAAGCATTTGAGTTGGAAAGTTCAATTTCCAACAAATGCTCAATCCTTAAGACATTTAACGGCAGAATGTTCCTTACCTGTAACTTTAGAAGCCAGAGGACTGAACTACATATGTGGTCACTTCTGAGGGATAATTATGTACAATTATGCAACTGCCATGTGTGTGCTCCCAGCATGACATGAAGAACACCATGCATTTCAGCTGTGAGCACAGATGCGCCCCTCCTCTCGCAGAGCTGTATCTGTTCCTGCCCAGAAGAACAGCTACTAACACCTGTTCTCCCTTCCTGTTTATGGCTGCAGGACAGAGTCGTCTGGATGTTGACACCTTCCCATTAATGTACTATTCAGAACTTAGCTTGGTTCTTAGATACACTAGTTTCCTTTTTCAGCGCAGGTTGCTATCATCCATCCTTCCCTGAAGGCCCAGCACTCTGGGCCGATGCTTGTCTAACTTCAGAGGCAGAAAGCATTAGAAACATGAACAATCACCAAGCCTCTCAGTCTCTCAGGACCTAGCTCTTGCGTATCAGTGTGCTAGCCAGCACCTCTACACACTCTCCCAGTTGTCTAATAAAGCTTACCTGCTATCTCTAAATTTTTTCCTTTGACTTCAAATTCATATTCTCCTCAAGTCCCTTTCCTCATTATTTGGATCCCAACACACATCCTTGCTCCATGTCTTTTCCCACAGCAGCATATCTGCCATCTCTTTTCTTTGCCATTGTCTTAATGTTTTTGAATCATGTCCCTATTTCAGGTCTAGCTTCACACCAAAGGTAATCCAATACCACCTTCTTGTCCTTTCTTAGCTTATCCCTCCCATCTCTATGAAATAAATTTGTCTAAATACAACTTCCTCAGATCACTTCCCTGCTGCAATACCTTTATCTGATCCCCAAACGCTCCAAATTTTAAACTCCCAGACATGGTACTTAAAGTCATCTATAATCTGGCTACTTCTATTTGTTAAAACAGACGTCATATGGTAAGTATCAAAAACAACCACAAAATCAAAATACAATTTTTTTGTTACCTATGTCTATACATCAATTTTTTGTAAGCCAGAATTAGAGCAAAGTCTCACATAGGTGTCTTATGCTACTACATTATCTTTTAAGACCAGTCCTACTGTTGAATTATACTGACAAGATGAAACTGAATTTGAAAATATTCCTGGAAATCAATGAAGGCAACCTGTATGGGGAAAACTTACAAGTCCAAAGTTCTTCTGGAATATACAAAGAGTAAATGTAAAAGTGGAAAGACCTTTGTAATTCTGTAATGCAACCAATGTATTTTCCTAAATTAGACATTTGAAGGCTCTCAAAATGAATGTCTTCCCCCATCTAGATAGCCACTTCACAGGTGGTTTCTGAAAATAAATGCTTCCATTTACTGAGGTTTTTAACCATGTGCTTACCCCATTTAATCCTTGCTTCAGCCAATAGTACTTCTGTAAACTTCACTGTACATTTGAAAGCAATAAAGCTCTAATTCGTCTTTTCTGAACTGTTATCATTTAGGACTTGTTGTCTCCTTCCTTCACGGGACCTGCTTTCTAGGGTCCCTCACTCTAATTCCCAATCTTACATTAAGACGACTGTTGCTATACCTAAAATGAATTTTAAAAACACTCACCAGTAACTTAAGCCACACATTTACTTACATTATTTCAGCTCCAATACTGCAGTTTAAAAAAAAAAAAAGCCTAGAAAAAACAGGTGCTTAGTCACCTAAGAAAATAAGAAAATTAGCACCATGAACCGAGGAATGTCTGAAAATGCTGGCACAGCAGTATTCACAGCACAATACTGTTAATAAATGAGCAAACTAATGCTACGGTTGAGGAGTTAACCACAGTGAGGCTTCTGTTTGGTATGGAGAAAGCTAAGTCGGAGGGGGAATTAAACCAAAAGGGCCAATGGACAAAGCCTGGTCCCACAGAACACCTCTGATTTACAAAACTGCAAGTTCAAGGCCACAGAATCCTCCACTATCCAGGCTGGCATATCATGCTGAGAAAATGTCTCACATGTCTAAGAAACTAAGATGTTTAAGAAGTATTCCTTTGAAAAAATATGCAGACTCAGATTTTGCAAAGAAACCCCTAGCATGGAAGTTTTTGCTCTACATACAAAAACACTTAAAGATGAATGAACAATGAGTGAAATGGCACATGAAGAATCTTAAAATATCATCTTTAGTTATTTTTAAAGATACTTCTACTCACCACAGACTGAAAGTATTCTGGAGAGATACCTTCCAATTCCAGTATCTTATCTTCAAGTTTTTTAATCCTCTGATAGATATCTCTTGGTACCGGACCACCTAAATACATTAGGAAAAATTTCTGAAGTACTGTTCAATGTTTCTTATAAGTTTTACTCTTAACAATATCACTTATACAAAGGAAAATAAATCCTTAGCTCCTCTTATGCTACATTATGGGACATGCTACACTAGACCTCTCCACACACCATTTATTCTTTCTCTTTGGCTAGGAGTTCTGTCTCATATTACATTGAAAAGCTTCTTTGTAGAATAATTCGTATTTCTGAGAGACTGATAGTTTTCTATTTGGCAAGAGAAAAACATCAGAATAAATGACGATTCTGTAGTTTCAATGTCATTTTATTTATATTTCTCCCTATTGTATTTCACATTTCCTCTGACCTAGAAGACAATAGCTTACGAAGGAGCCTTCCCATAATTCCAAACAAACTTTGGGAAAGGATAATAGTAACTTAAAATCACTCAAGTTTCTACTTTGTGATTCTGTCTAGAATCCTCCCTCTGTATACCACATCATCTGCAACCACTCTCTGGTCCAGACCACCCCTTTCTCTCCCTGGATGACCACAACCTTCCAAGAGGCTCAATTCTGCCTTGCTTCCACACAGAGTGTTCTCAATATACCAGTAGTGAACTTTCCAAAATGCAATTCAGGTACTGTCCTTTCAACTCCTTACTATTTCACTAAGACTAGGCACCATAGCCCTCACAATGGCCCACGTGACCCAACCCAATCTTGACCTCTCAATAAGGCTGTGCAACCTGATACCTTTAGCTAGTTGGTTCCCTTTAAATCCGGAATCCAAGGCTAACTCTCAACTTTAGTTCCTGGCTTGAAAGTTACCTTGATCAATGTTTTCTCTGACCATCCTTTATAAAATACTATTACAAACCTTAGTTTTCTCCATACCATTAATACATCAAACATTCTATATGTTGTATTTTAGTATAGCTATACTGCACAAACCTAGGCAGCATCACTTCGTACTACAATGCCTGGCATAAAGCTAGAATGAATTCATAACTAGAAAATTATACAAAGGTGCATTTTCAAATGAAAAGTATCGGTTAACTAGAAAAACATTTTTCAGAATGCGTTTACCTTACAGCAGTGATTGTTCCTGCTGACACACCAGGTAAAACAAATGACTCATTTTCCTTTGCTGCTCCCTCTGCCTGGGATCCCCTGCCTTAGCCCTGCGCCTTCCTCAGCCAGTTCAAGCTTCACTGCGGGCAATGCCTGAACAACTTCACATGGAGGCTCCTAGCAGAGTGGCAGCTCAAAGTCCTGGCTGCTCTGCTTCCATTCCCACTCTTTGCTAACAGGTAGCAAAAGGCAGAAAACCACCCAAAGACTGGAAGGCTCCAGCCACCCTTTCGGGAGACCAGATGAAGTTCCTGGCTCCTGTTGGGCCTGGCCCAGTTCCAGATGTGTGGCCACTTGGGTAGAAAATGAATGGATTATCCCTTTCTCTGTCACTTACCAAACAAGTCTTTCACACATAGATCTTCGATCTGCTGGCTCACTCCCCAAGTGGCTGCAGCGGCTAGAGCTGAGGCGATCTGAAGCCAGGAGTCTGGAGCCTCTTCTGGGTCTCCCATGTGGGTGCAGGGTCCCAAGACTTTGGGCTAACCTCGACTGCTTTTTCAGGCCACAGGGAGGAGCTGGATGGCAAATGGAGCATCTGGGACACGAACTGGTGCCTGTTTGGGATACCGGCACATGCAAGGCAAGGACTTTAGCCACTAGGGTACTGTGCCAGGCCCCATGAAGTTTTTTTTCACAAGTACACTTTCTGTAAGCCTCTTGTACATACACATTTCAAATCTACCTCTGAAGGGAGAGCACTAATTCTCAATATGGATGCCTTACTACCCTCAAGGACTTAATTATTCTCTTTTCTTCCAGATCTGTTCAGCAAATACTCCAGTGAGACCAAATTCAAGAACTCCGTAAGCTGTGTTTCATGTGTATTCCTTTCTGCACGTGCTGTTCCCTCTTTGCAGAATGCTCTGTTCCTCAGAAATTTCTACTAGCCATCTGAAGACTCATCACGGCTGTCATGCCTAGACCTGCCCTGAGAGATGAATACTAACTTTGTGTCTTACTGAGCCATGCTACCAGTCTGAAAAGATGGAAGTAAAATAATAATAATCATTCAATAAATATTTGAGCATCTGCTTTGTGCCAAGCACTGCACTATGTATAAAGTACCAAACATGACAGTTCTACTCTCACAGTTTCACTATCTGGCAGGACAGACATTCCACAAACAGAAGCTAGTGATAGCTCTGCAAAGTGGCAGGAAGTACTAGGTGCAGTGGGACTGCACAAAGGGGGAATTTATAGTTGTCTGAATTAAGAAAGCAAAGCATGGGCAAAAAGGCAGCAAGATGAGTAGGAGATGGGAAACCCAGTTATGTGGCTAGAATGAACACATGCAAGTTGTATTACTTTTTTAAAATATTTATTTTTGTTGGAAAGGCAGATATGAATATACAGAGAGGAGGAGAGACAGAGGAAGATCTTCTGTCCATTGACTCACTCTCCATGTGGCCGTTATGGCTGGAGCTGCACCAGTCCAAAGCCAGCAGCCAGGAGCCTCTTCTGGGTCTCCCATGCAGATGCAGGGTCCCAAGGCTTTGGGCCGTCCTCCACTGCTTTCCCAGTCACAAGCAGGGAGCTGGATGGCAAGTGGGGCCTCGGGGATTAGAACCGGTGCCCACATGGAATCCCAGCACAAGTAAGGCGAGGACTTTAGTGGCTAGGCTACTGTGCCAGGCCTGCAAGTCATATTATTTGAAATCACAACTCCATCCTTCTAGGGCCAGAATTGTACCATAGCAATGTAAAGCCCTTGCCTATGTCTGGCTTCTCACATGGGCCCTGGTTTATGTCCCAACTGCTCTACTTCCTATCCAGCTCCCTGCTAATGTTTAGGACAAGTAACCAAACATGGCCCAAATGCTTGGGACCCTGCCACCCATTTAGCAGATTCAGATGAAGTTCTTGGCTCCTGGCTTTGGCCTGACCCAGCACTGGCCCATACAGCTACTGAACCAGCAGGTGGGAAATTCTTGGCCCCCTCCCCACCTCTAATCATCCATTTCAAAATAAATACATCTTTTAAGGAATGATAACCCTCTACCCATGCTATCTCTGTTCCCTTCTACTGGTCAAGTTGCTTCTACTTGTGGCCCATCGCCTTGTGTATTATACAATTTATTATTACTTTTACCATTTGTCTCCCCCAGCTATAATTCCTGTGTGGCTGCATTCTTAGCGTCTCATCTATGCCTGGCTTATTGCAGGAACTGAATAGCTACTTCATGAGCAAATAAATACTAAGTTTCCTGTTTATATAAGGGCAACAGGAAACCATGAAAAGGCTTCTGAATTTAAGGGGTAAGAACTATACAAAAGCATTCTGGACACAGGGTAGAGAATAATCTAGAGGAAGTTATGGCGAACAGACCTGCTGATACCCTTCCAACAGCCCATAAAGATTACAGTAGAAGCAGGCCAACCAGGTATTTGAAAAGCAGACTCAACAAGACCTGGTCACTAAATGGAAAAGGAGACACAGGCTTTGCCCCTGCCAACATCTGGGTTGGATTTCTAGTGGCCACTCTGTATCTTGAGCATGCTGCTTGAGCTCTTAACTGTAGTTTCTTTATCTGTATAACAGAACCAGTGCTTTCAAAAGGTAAAGTATTAAGGCAGCTGTCAGTCTTGCAGATGTGTTACGGTGTATTTTTCCTACGGCTTTTATTTACATACTCATCCTCACTGAGGGATCCCTAGGACGTGTATCCACACCATGTATGTAGATGACTAAGAATGAGAGTAGGGGTCATGGCTGAGTCATGAAATTGCTTGGGAGAGACTACGGTACTGAAGGTTAAGTCACTGCTTGCTGCACTGGCATATTGATGCCAGGTAAATCCTGGCTGCTCCACTTCCAATCCAGCTCCTTAACGCACCTGGGAAAGCAGTGGAAAATGGTCTAAATGCTAGTTAGGCTCCTTCCATCCATGTGGGAGCCCTGAATAGAGTTCCAGACTCCTGGTTTCAACCTGGCCCAATGCGGACTGTTGTGGCCATTTGGGAAGTCAATCAGCAGCAGATGGAATATATCTCTCTATAGAAACCCTGCCTTTCAAATTAATTAACTAAAAATAAAATTAACAAGACTAGTTTTCAGCTCTAACTTCAACATATTGAGGCTAACTTCAACATATTCCAGGTATCTGGAACCTACTCTTACTCTTCTAGCACTCTTAATATTACGAAGTGGCAACAAGGGTGAAAGAAGGAAGAGCGCGAACAACAACTAAAAATTCCTTGAAAACAGGGACCACGCTTCATTCCTTCTTATCTGTTAAAAGCTTCAGTCCTGACAAAGACACTATACAGCAATCACTTACCCTTCACGTGACTTTTAAATCCAGGGTAAGAGGTGAAAGCAGCGTCAGTTCTTGCACAACTATTTTCTAGAGAAATTCAAAGGAATGTAAGTTTAAATGCATCCTTGAGGCTTACCTGTCTGCAATCGCAAGTGAGCCTCAATATTTTGTAGTCGTTCTTCTACAGCCTGATTACCACAATCTCGCAGCATGCTCTTGCCTTTGTGACCTGACCCTTGAATCCCTTCAGTTCTTGTCTGTGGTCCATATGTATTCACAACTCTAGAAACTAAGTAAACAGACTTTTGAGCCTATGTAAATTCATTAAAAAAAAACCTCAGCCGTTGTCTGCCCTACCATTCCCCATCAGAGGACTTGGGTTCAGTGCCCAGGTCCAGATGCTAGCTTTCTACTAATTCAGACACCAGGAAGGCCGTGATATTCAAGAAACTGGGTTCATTGTCACCCTTAAACCTACACTGAGTTGCCAGCTCCCAGTTTTGGCCCCAGCCAGTCAACGGCAGGCATTCAGAGGATAAACAGGCAGAAGAGAGGGCTGCTTCTCCAATAAATTAAAAAATAAAAAACAAGCAGAAATTCCTTTCTGAACAGTACTTCATATCCTTTCAAAAAGATATGAAACATGAATAAAGCCAGATTTCTTGTTTTGCTATTAACCTTTTAATGGGGAAGTCCTTCCTATCTGCTAAAAGCTTCAGTCCATGACACAGACACTACACAGCAATCACTTACCCTTCACGTGACTTTTAAACCCAGGGTAAGGGGTGAAAACAGCGTCAGTCCTTGCACAACTATTTTCTAGAGAAATTCAAAGGAATGTAAGTTTAAATGCATTCTTGACTTGGAGATAATTGATTTTGATATGTTAACATAAGAACATAACCTTGTATACTGCATAAAAATAAAGTCTCCTTAACACAGGATAGAATTTAGTGATCTTCTTTACTCTGAAATATATGGTATCTCCTGTTCAGATTTAGATACAGAAAAACCAGCAACATCCAAGGGCATAATTCTATACAATTTCAACGAAAGTTAATGCCCCTAAAAATCATTTGGCTCTTTCTCAAAAGTAATTTATTACAGAACATTTTAATTCTATTTCATTATAGACTCTTCATTTTTACCACAGTATTTTTTTTTAAATTTAGTACTTTATTTACTGACCAAACTAGTAGTCAACTAAAAGAGTGATTATGTTAACAACTTTTTCAGAACTGCACACAAGAAAGCTCTTGAAATTTCAAGTATAAAACTTACCTTCCCTCCCGACATACATGTATTATGCTCATTTTAAAAACCTCTAATTGTATCTCCTTATATCTACCTTTCAAACAATGTCATTCTAAGAAAAAGATGCATTATAAAAATTTGTTTCAATTTTTTCCAAACTAAAATCAAATGTCAAAAAATAAATTTCAAAGGGGAAAAATGCTTATACTAATACGAATACTATTATAATTATACATTAAATTATTAACAGCACTACATAATTGTTATTTATACTCATGCTTAAATAATAAAATCTTGCAATGACACAAAATTCTCTTATTTTGTAAGAAATGAAAAGTAAAGGGATATGAGAATAAATTCTTTTCCCTATGAATTTTGACTTTACAAAACCCTCTGTATTTAGGTCAAATTAAGAGGTATTAAAAAAAATGCTTATTTTTTCAGTGTGACTTTTCTTAATAAATCTGTTGGTAAGTCAAATTATGTGAATAAAATTATTAATCCAATTATTCTTCTATTCTGGAGACTACACTGAGAAATTCTGGGTTTTTTTGGGGGGGGGATACTTCAACATATTGTAAAGGGCCATTACTTCTCCATTCTCTTTCTGCCATTTCAAGGGGCTAAAAGTTACAAAAAGAAGCTATCATCCATTCTCGAGCTGTAGTCCAAATACACAGATTAACTGACCCATCAGTGAGAAATTCAGCGTGGTGTGAAGACAGTGAATGCAGGAGTGCCAGTCGCCCTCCACAGCAGTCCTTGTTAGCACCGTGAGGAGCCAGCAAGAGACTGAATGGGCTAAGGAGTCCTACTGAGCATTTCAATTCTTGTCAATTCCTATCCCCTGGTGGTTTATAATAATAGAGTTAGTAAGGAGACCAGAGGAATAACATTAATGACATGTGCTTGCTCCCTCAACAAACCCTTCCTCATGGGTTGCCAGCAGTTGAACTGTAGCACCTGAGATTTTTGCCATGGCTACACCTGCTCTGAAAAAATGAACAGAGAAACACAATAAATTCAGATACACATACGTGAATAGAAAGTGCTAAATTGAGGACCCACCTGGGCCTGCTTTGTTTCATTACTAAGATAGTGCACCAATATGATATGAGTGCCTTCCACATTCACCTGACAATTCCATGTTTATGATCATCACTCAAAACAATAGGCAACAAGAGAAATGTTCATTCAATTATGAACTCTCCTCCATAATTTTTCCCAAGAACTGCTTGTTTCGAGAGTGACCTACGGCCGTGCCTTGCCACTCTCTCAGCACACCTGCGGCCCCGTCCACGCGCAACAGTGTCCAGTGCTGATGAGCAACAGCAAACATACGCACGAGGGAAGGCAGAAACACAAGACACCTTGGTCTTCGTGCAAAATGGATTTACAGTGACAACAATTCAAAGAGCTCAGGAGTGATGAGAAAACTGCTCCCTCTTGAGGAATACCGCTAACTTTACCACGTTCACTTTCGGTAGTAACATCATAATTTCACAAGTACATCGACAGGTTTAAAATCTCCCAGCTCATCTCCCTCTCCTACTGAGACTGAGCAACTCTGCCACCCAATCTTCACTTCTATTTCCTAAAGGGATTCAATTTTTTCATCTGAAGTAAGCATTTGCCTTTTCATAGCATCATTGAGTTGATTGCTGTTGAGCGAAAATAAAGGCCAGTTTTGCAACAGTCCATTATTAAATACAAGGAAATTCCACTACCTTAGCTACTAATGACCCGGAGATACAAATTTAATTGTGTTCTTATTGTTACTCAGGAAAAACGTGAGACATTAGAGCAAATGTAAAAATTGTGCTTAAAATCTTATGAAAATTAATATCTAGGTGGTTACCTTGATTACAATCAATAACATTGCAAAATTCCCTGACGTTGTTTTCATTGATTTCAGCTTGCTTTCTCTCAATAAATGCAGATATCCGACGGTCAATCTGCAAACAAACATGTTTTCGCAATATAAACACTAAGATTTTTGAGCACTATACTCCCTTCTCCCCAGCCCCACCGGCTTCTTACTTCTGCTTTTCCAGCTTTGATCTGAACGACTTCTGGGTCAAAATGGATCTGTGTCTTTTTCGTGTCTCCTAAATCACCACCTTTGTGCTTCTCCTCCTCTTGCTGGTCGCCAGTGGGATTTCTGGCATTTACTTCACTCCTGTTCCCCGTTTCTGTTTTTCCTGTCTCTTCAACAGCAGTTACATTCTCCTCTTTGATCAGAGGCTGAAGTTTTGCTAAAAAAGGCTGAGAAGAGCACAGTTGCTGGGGCTCACATTCATCAACGTTACTCACACACTAGTGTATATACATTTCTGCTAAGTAAATATTTACTATTACAAAATACAAAAAGTTAATATATCGAGACACATAAACTTGACTACATGTAAATGTGTGCTGGTTTTGCTTCTGTGATCATTACTACTTGCTATAAATTTGTTTTTTAAAAAAGAGGGAAAGAAAACCTGAGGAAATTTAAAATCTTCTTTGAGGGAATCATTCTGTCACTCATTTTATTTTGTGCCAAATCAAAGGCTTCAGCCTCTGGCATCGATGCCACTTAATTAACATGTCATTCAAATGCCTTCTCGGAACACTAAGGCTTGGTATTCTTCCTCCTCAACATGAGAGCCGGTGCTGTCACGCGGCAAAGCCCTGCATTATCACTATATCACTGGAGACTCTCCACTTGAAGCTACAGTTGGCCAGAGTGAATGCAAGAGCGCAGAGATGAAACAGATAGGTGTTAGGCAGAGTGAACACCCAGGCTTCTCCTGACATGGCAGGATACCTTCCTGGGTCATGAAATTAAATTTAAAAAAAGAAAACGGGCAAGGAGAGAGAGGGGAAAAAAAAAAAAACCCTACCAAGACCCAGAGCTGAGAACAGATGGATGCCTCTCAACACCTTGGGGGGCGGGTGGGAGGCAGCCTGCTAACAATGGAGATTGCTCCTGTATACTCCTGCCCCCCAAAATGAGGCCCTTGCTGCTCTTTGCTCTGCCCTTTAAAAGCAGGGATAGCCACTACTTGTAACATGAATAAGTTACATTTTTCCACAAAATCATATAATGTATAATTGAAAATAACTATTCCATTAGTCAAAATGCACCAAAGCTTAGCAATATTCCAACTATTTTTCATACTTATCATTTTGCTTCATTTGCTTGCTAAACAAACACTCTTCCACACCCTGTAACATTTTAATAGCATGAAGTTAACCAAGCCAAACAGTTCTTATCTGGCATGTTGCATTTTACACTCTGAAAAGAAATAAACTGCAACAGACCAATTCACCAATTAAAACTGCTAGAATGTTCAATGACAAAGGTCACTGCTCAGTTATTGAACAAAAAAATACTAAAAATATAACAATGCCATTAAAAAGAAGTCAATATTGACTCCTAATAGCAAGAATGAATGATTTCAAACTGCTTCAGAAAGATAATATAGTGACTGGCTACTTACTAAGATGAGACATTAATGTCACAGAAATTACTTTCTTTTTAAAAACTATACTGAAACTGTTTAATTGCAACAGACACTCCAGGATGTGTCATGCTGGGATAATGCCACTTCTTGAACCACTGAAAGCACTCCATGAGCCGCCAAACTCACCCAAGGCATGGAATCATTAGCATAGCATGACACACACCTGCCGTGGCTTATTGCTTAATTATAACCCACCATAGATGGAATTGTATTGAATTTTTGGTACAAGTCTAGAATTGAATAGAACTACATTCATTCAGTCTTATGACCACATTGGCCTACTGGGCTGTACAGTTCCCTAACAATCCTCATCACGACTGAAACTGACATATTTCTATCCTACATATATACACACATGTATATGTAACCTCTTAATACACAGTTATGAGATTACATATTCCATAATTTAACAATTAAATTCCCTTTTTTATATCAAGTTAATATTTCTAGCAAGACATTTACCTGTAAAAATAAAATGTGTTGCTCAAGTGCACTGAAGAGCACTGCAGGCTGGAATGCCGAGAGGTTCTGGAGCTTGTTCCAATCGATTGTAATCTTCACCACATCATCTCTGAGTTTCAGCTTCGAAGGGGCAAACCAGCAACATCACAAAAATCACCATTAGGCTGCACGTGGCAGACTGTCACAGAAGTATGATTTCTACAAATTAATACAGCTTTTCTGCTCAAAGTTACCAAGGTTTTAAGGATACATTAAAAGAAACTACCTCTTTACAGTTTTAAAAGACCCAGAAAGGTGCAAAATGGTCATTAAAAACAAAACAAAAAAAAGTCAAAATGACATCAGCCCATTCTACTTTCTATTCTATCCTTGAAGTTGTGTAATGGGAATATCTTAAGAGGTGAAACCAGCTACAGAAGATGAAAAGATGGAGGCCACTGAGCTACTTCAATCTAAAAACCTGTGGATGGAGTTCAAAACAGACTTGCCCCACGCAGTCTTACTACTTCCACCTCATGGCATTAAAGAGAGGCAGCACACTGTTCTACAACAGTTCTAGTGTGTACATTTCTATTAAATATGCAAATGCATGATTTATATCACGTTCCTGATATCACCTGAGCTCAATATTTATGGTTTTCATCTTCAACAAATTTCAAAAATAATTTTAAAAAAGATTATTCACAAAGTCGAGATAAAGGGCAACGTGTGTATATTTCTCAAAATTGCAGTATTTATTTATTTAATGGAAGTCTGAAATGCAAATATTAATCTTCTTCACAATAGTTAAATCTTTAGAAATTAAAATCATTTTCCAGTAAAATGTAAGAGCTTACTAAATGAAAATTCCTCATCAGTTGATGCACCACAATAAGATCATATTCAGAAAACTGAAAAAAATCTGTACAACATGTGTTCAGAGGAAAGCCTCCCACCCGCAACTGGACTAAAGTGAACCACCATTAACTTTTCTAGGGATACAGGTTTATATAAAGAAGAATCAAGTCAACTATATTTTTCAGAAATATTTTCTACAAAATAAAGGTGTTAAATACAGATCTGATGAGCTGTAATTATAATAAAACAAAAGACAATCGCCATGTAAAAAAATCAGAATCAAGATCACCCTTGGGGGGGGGGGGACATCTCCAATGAATGAACACTGCATGACAGAACCATGCTGCTCTCTGAACCCACGAGCAGAGGCTCAGGAAGCCCAGCACCAGGCGTACACAGAGACCAGCGAGCATCATACGTGCCTAGGTCAGCATCAGGTACAGAAGTGACCCAAAGGCAAAACTCTACAGCCCTCAAAGAGAACTATACTTGGCCACAGTGAACTTATGGATACGATTTAGGAATAAAGCAAACAAACCTTCAACCAAGGCAACACATCACATTCCCTGTGGAAAATCACTACAGAAAATGGAAGCCTTTAGGCATAGTTAAGGGTCTCTGTTTTTTTTAAAAACAATAATGTTGCAAATGATTTCTACAGCTACCCCAACTTATCCAATAATCAGTCAAGAAATTTCCTTTTAGTAATATGAATTCTATGTACTTTTAAATACCTTAGAATAGACATACCTAAACGTGCAATTAATTGGACTTAATATTCACGTGGAAATCCAAGTAAACATTAAATTTAATTTGGTAAAAGTATAGCCCTGCTAAAAACTGAAATCAGTAATTTTTTTGTCATCTGGAGTAGAAAATATTTTAGCAATTTTATGTCTCTACTTGAGGAGACTTAATCATATACCCATGCCTAGTGAGAACCTGGCATATTTATACATACCAAAAAATCCTTAAACATTGCAAAAAGAAACACCGATGAGGGTCAGGAAGGCCATTCCTGAAGGACGGTACACCTTCATTTTTTAAACCACACATCTCAAAACACAATTATCAAAATGTTTAGCATTCGTTGAGACACTACTTTAGATATTTTCATAGAAGGCCCCTTGCCTGTGTCGAGGTAAACTCACCACACTTCACCCTAAACGTTTCTGACAGGTGACATAAATTTAATCACTCCTCTATTTGTACTAATTAGAATACCTTAATCAAAAATTTCAAATGCGTTTTATTAGTTCAGCATGCAAAATATTTCAAACAGAATGTTTATCTCACAACATTTATCACGGGGTAGAGGGACTCCATAAATAATAGGTGTCCATAAATATTTCAACTTGATGTTAGGTTGAAGTTCCAATGTCTAAGCCATACAAGGTTCTGCAACCTTTGAACCATTTAAAGGTCTTGGATCTTAAAGCTGAAATGTTAACTGTCAAAAACCCCCCGAGTCTTCAAAATTCTTCTTGGCAAGTCCCTGGCCAACAGCTGAATTTCAGACGTATCTGAGGCAACCCCATGAACTGCCTCATTACACAAACCTCAGTGGCCGACTCGGTGAGCCACAGCATGCCACGCTCTTAAAAATATATCCTACTAACTTTTTAAAATCGTGACTCTCCGTACCCACATGGATTAAAAAAACAAACTTTCACGTATGTAATGTTTCATTTTCACGATTTTCCCACTACCCTTGACGGAAACGCCTGCTGTTCCTACCACACGCGCGAGTACCAGTCCCAGAACAAGCTTCTACAACTGGAAACAGTGTGAAACAGGAAACTAAGTCTTGCTAAGAAGCAAACACAGCCGAAGGCAATTCCTCACTGACGACTCAACCTGTAATTTGCATCTAAAACTCCATCTTATTGGGACAGGTCTATCGAGCGATTTATTAGCCAATCAAACTCGTAACTGAACATGTCGTTAAACGACAGCTCCCACGCAAACAGGAACTTTAAATCCGAAAGATTTCATCCGTTCACTTCCCTCCCACTTGGCAAGGGTAACAGGTGGACGCGATTGCCCAAAGGGAAAAAGGAGCGAAAACCAAGTGACCCGTAGGGTAGAGAAGGCGCTTCTCTGAAAACCTCATGGCGACCTCCTTGAGGAGTTGAGTCGCGGGAAAGACCCAGAGCTCCAGGACCCCGCCACACCCTCCACAAACCCGCCATCCGGTAACTGGGCGCCCCCGAAGACCCTCCTCACTCCCGAGAGGACGGCCGCGGATGTTCTAGAACACCCGAAGCGGCTGCGCCCCGTTCCTCCCCACCGGTGTGTGTGGGGGGGAGGACACACGCCCCAGCCGCGCCCCTCGTCCCGGCAGGCCTCGGTCGCCCCACGAAACCTCCCGGACCAGGGGTACCCCCGGCCGCGCCTCCCCCGTCCCGGCAGGCCTCGGCCTCCCCCTCACCCCCGCCCCCGCTACAGGGAACGGTGTGGGAGGAGCTGGACGTCCCACAGCCCGAGCGCCCCCGGCCATCCCTCACCTGTCCAGCCAACGTGTGCAGAGAGCGAAGGACTTCGCAGAGCAACTCCCGGGAGAGGCTGGGGCTGCAGTTTTGCTCCAGGGTCCTGTCACTGCTGCTAGAGTAACTAAGATCTGTAGCGGCAGCCATGACACCTTCCCACACCGCCCCCGCCAACGCCGAGACACGCTCACGACCCCCGCCCTCTCCTGCTCGCGTCGCTCCGCGATGACGTCAAGCAAAGCGTACCGTTTAAATAGGGGCTCCCCCCCGTCGCTCCACCCAGTCTGGGTGATTGACACCTACGTTGACCAATCAAGTGTAAACTACAGCTTTGCGCCAAGATCTCAAGCTGGTGACTGCTGACAAGCGCAAGGCTGTGGAGCGGGGATTGGATTTGTAGTCAGCTGACAGCCTCACGAAATTTACTTTCTTGGATGCTTTCTATGAAGAGACTCGTTAAGAATCTGAGCCCCCAGGTTAACATTCGAAGTTTTAACAAGGCAACGCGGAGTGGTTGGGAGAAATGGATGAGTGCCCCACGTGTTTCCAAGCACTGGGAAACCCCTTTACTAGGAATTGCAACTGGATAGAATATCTACAGCTCTACATGGTTGTTTAAATCAACACATATGCTGAAAAGAGGATGTAAAAGAAAAAATAAAGTGCCCCCATGGTACCCTGTTTTGCTAGGGAGGGACTAACAAGAATGAACACATCTACCCGTATCACATAATGGCAGAACCCAACCTCTTGTTTGACTCCTTTTGCCCAAGGTGTTCTGGGTTGTTGGTTATCAAAAGTCACTCGTTGAGTTAGGAAGTGACTACAGCTGGTACCTGGACACCTGAGGTTACTTGCTTCTCCATGAAACCCCTTTGGCTCACAGTGTAGGCTGGGAGGGTAGGGTACAGGGGAATTTAAGGTCGAGGCAGGGTCTGGGGCAGAAGAAGGAAGCTTCCATTTACATGTAACTCCCTCCATCCCATCCTACTCCCTCGTCCCCCCCCCCCCCCCCCCAGTCTCCCAGACCAACTGGAGCCCACTTGGGCATCAGAAAAATTCTCTAAGTATCATAGCATGGTAGAGCCATCAAGTCACTACTTCCACACTAGAACTCAGACAGGAACTGCACCTGCCCTTTCTCTGCTCCCATTTCAATCAGAACATCCGCTCTTAAACCCTTGGGGTTGTCCAGTCACTGCCCCTGTGAGGGGACCCAGGTTTGGGGTTCTATCACACTATCTCCACCTAGCCTGGCAGATTGCGCTGCAATACATATGCTAAATAATTCCAAGTTTTAAAGTGGACAGCAGCTGCCGAGAGATGACCTTATTTGTACTCAACCCTGAAATGGTTTCACAGGCATAAATCATTCTCTGTGTGATTCTAATAGGAATTTAACCCACGTTGAATTTCACGCAGACCACAAACTTTGAAATCAGGATGTAAAGCCTGGTGACTGCCTCGGGCTGGGCTTATTTCAGAACTGACACGTGCACATCATTCTGGCCTCACCCGGAAAGGACCAGAGGAGCCAGATATGTCATCAGACTAGCAGGGCTCCAGTCGGCCAATGATGAGCCTAGTCCGACAATCCTTAGCTTATTAGGGCTCAGAGTCTTTGCCAGCACCCACGTGGAAAGGGGTGTAAAACCCTCACCCCCAGTCATCTTTTTTTTTTTTTTTTACAGCTGGCTGATGTTATCTTTTTCATGGGTGGTCAACAAGTCTAACAAAGCCTAAATTACACTTTGGCAAAACATGATTTACCACATAGATTTATTGTAAAGATGTGTGAAGGATTTGGTCATCTTCTGGTTAGATTTAAGATTTTTTTTTAAATGATAATTTGTTAACATTTAAATAGTTTTCATATTAAGCTCTATTCAAAAATATATTTTTTTAAATCCATCCGTTTAGAAATGGGACCAAGGGGTTTCAAACTCTTAATTCTAATCGTCGAATGCATTTACAGTAGAGGAAGCAAAGGTAAAAGCACACACAATGTGCATTCTTCAGTCTTGGAGTAGGCTGAATGGAAGGGGGAGGAGGAAGGTAAGAAGGAACTGGGTGAAGGGCTCCAGGGATGAAAGAGCGCCTTTGACCTGTCCCTAGGAAGCCTCTTAATTAGATTTTCATTTCCAAAGAAGTGTGGGATCACCAGGCTTGCCAGGACCTTCAGAAATCTCTGTTCCCTTGTGTGCAGCAAGATAATACAACCGAGACTCCAGCTTATGTCTGGAGACAGAGAAAGACTTCAGAATACCCAGTCCCAAATTGAGCAACCCTCTCGGTCAGCCACTCACCCCCCCTACCTGACCTAAATTCACAGTTCTCTGTAATGTTAGCATATTTGCTTTGTTTCTCTTGTGAATGGAAAATTGGGGCAATGAGGATAGCTACAAGGTTTTGTTCTGTTTCAAATGAGCACTCAGATTCTGATCACTTGTATTCAACAAGGTGTAGGGGCTTTTTAAAAAATACAGTTTCAGGAGACTTGCCTACAACAACTTTTGGGAGTGTGCTTTGTCTATTAAAATATTACCTCGTGTGGTATGTTGTAAATGAGTAAGATACTACTGTTGGGTCCTCTCTCGGCCACCACTGATCTGGGAATTTTAGACTCTGCTTGTTCCCCTGAACCCCTGAAATGGAATTAATTAAGGGCAGGGCCCAGTGTGGTAACCTAGTGGGTAAAGTCCTCGGTGCCATGCTCCCATATGGGTGCCAGTTTGTATCCCAGCTGCTCCATTTCCCATTCAACTCCCTGCCTGTGGCCCGGGAAAGCAGTGGAGGACGGCCCAAAGCCTTGGGACCCTGCATCCGTGCACAGGAGACCCAGAGGAAGCTCCTGGTTCCAGGCTTTGGATCAGCTCAGCTCTGGCCATTGCAGCCACTTGGAGAGTGAACCAGCAGATACAGGATCTTTTTCTCTGTTTCTCCTTCTCTCTGTAAATCTGCCTTTCCAATAAAAATAATAATTAAATCTTTATAAAAAACAAAACAAAGGGCCCGGCAGCGTGGCCTGGCGGCTAAGGTCCTTGCCTTGAATGTGCCAGGATCCCATATGGGAGCTGGTTCTAATCCCGGCAGCTCCATTTCCCATCCAGCTCCCCACTTGTGGCCTGGGAAAGCAGTTGAGGATGGCCCAAAGCTTTGGGACCCTGCACCCATGTGGGATACCAGGAAGAAGTTCCTGGCTCCTGGCTTCAGATCGGCATAGCATCGGCCGTTGCTCTCACTTGGAGAGTGAATCATCGGACGGAAGATCTTCCTCTTTGTCTCTCCTCCTCTCTGTGTATCTGACTTTCCAATAAATAAATAAATCTTTAAAAATGAAAAAGAAAAAAACCAAAAAGAATTAACTAAGGGCCTTTTGATTTTTATGTCAATTCTCTATGTAATTCTGTGAATTGCTATTCAGACTTGCACTTGTATCCTAGTATTTTATAGAGAATATTTAGAATTTGTCCATTCTTTTGTGTATTATTTCTTCTTCCTAGGGACCTTCTTACTCTTTCCTGATACCTATTACTTATATTTTCATCTTTTGTAATACAGAATTTTGTTTTATTGGCAGCAATACACAGCTATGATGCTGGCATCCCATGTGAGCACTGGTTTGAGTAGTGGCTGTTCCACTTCTGATCTCGTTGCCTGCTACTGCACCTGGGAAAGCAGTGGAGTGCTTAGGCCACTGCCACCCACACAGGGAACCCAGATGAAGTGCCAATCTCCTGGAGTTGATCTGACCCAAGTCTGGTCCTTGCAGCCTTTTGGAAAGTGAACAAACAGGTGGGAATCTCTCTCTCTTTATCTATCCATCTCTTCCTCTCAAACAAATAAATCTATCTTTTAAAAAGAGAAAATCATATTTTAATTAATCAGTTTAAAATTAACTTATTTGAAGGCTAGAGACGGAAAGGGACAAGCACAGATATCACTTATCCACTGGCTTCCTCCCTCAATGCCCACATTGTGCAGGCTGAAGAAGCCAAAACTGGGGCCTGGGGATTCAATCTGACTATCCCATGTGGTTAGTTACTTGAGCTAACTCCCCTAGGGTGCACATCTGTAGGAAGCTAATCAGGGCAAGAGCTGAACCTCAAACTCAATCCCTCCCCAAGTAAGGCAGGCATCCCACGCTTTATCTTAACTGCAACAGCAAATGTCTGACCCCAAACTCCATTTTAACTAGGAGAGTCTGTAAGCTGAAAAGATGCGGCTTCCTGTGGGTTAACTCCAGTAGAAATCCATAGTTATTAATGTACAACCAAACCGTAATAAAGGCTATGAAATTTACAAAGCCAATGAAGGAAATAATTTGCTCCTTATAGAAAACTAATTATAGTTTATGAGACAGATTGCGGAAAAATCTGCTGCCTGGCAGAAATCATTCAAAGTGCTGCTGTTGTCATTAGCAACAGAGTGAAAAGTACTGTCCTGCAGGTCTGTGCCAAAAATCCATCAAGTCCTTGCCTTGCACACACCAAGATCCTGTATGGGTGCCAGTTGGTATCCTGGCGGCTTCACTTCCCATCAAGCTTCCCGCTTGTGGCCTGGGAAAGCAGTCGAGGATGGTCCAAAGCCTTGGGACCCTGCACCTGCATGGTAGGCCCAGAAGAAGAAGCTCCTGGCTCCTGGCTTTAGATCGGCTCAGCTCTGGTTGTTTCAGCCAATTGGGGAATGAACCAGCTGATGGAAGAGCTTTCTCTCTGTCTCTCCTTCTCTCTGTAAATCTGACTTTCCAAATAAATAAATAAACAAAGAAATAAATCTTTTTTTAAAAAATCCATCAAGAGGATAAAAATTATAAGTCATATCAAGGCTCCCTACCTCTCAACAAAAATGTCTCTCACGAGGTTCTTTAAAGATACAACTCTATTAAATACTCCTGTGTCCAGATATTTGTCTGAAGATTTTTGTGAACGTTCCACTCTTTGTTTAATGTACAATTTTTTCTAATGCTGAAAAGAAAATAATGGTGTGTGTTGGGGGGTACTTGTTATCAAGCTCTTTAAAACAGCATTTACAACTCTTCTCAAGACCTGGCTTTCGCCTGTTTCTGACTCCATTTGCTGTCTGGTGCTTAATGCTCCTCCAACTAGTTTTGCTTCTTCAGAACTTTATTATTTCTGACCCTCACACTTCCCTGTATGCCCTCGGCTTATTCTCTGCTTGGAAAAACGCCTTTTTCATCTTCAATCTCCAGAGCCTCA